CGCTGCGTTTCGTGGTGGTAATGAAGCTTGAGTGTTAATGAATAAAGTCACGTTCTCGTTCTATCAAAGGTCTGCTTCCGAATTATGAAGTTGCAGTCACCAGAAGGGCTTTCAACATTCACGGCTTCTGATCTGAATATAAATATATCTGAGGAGCTTTCTTTTAGTGCGTCGATGCAAGCACATGATATGTAAAACATATATGTATGATGTCTATATATTTGTGCAGTTTTGCAATTGCTAGACTGACATAGAACGATTCTAGCATTGTTCGTTTTGAAGGAATCCGCATTTTACGTTGCTCTGATAGTCTGCTATGCGGTACTGACCAAGTGGGACGAGCGTATTCCAGCACCTTCCTTTCGGTCAGATCACCCTTGAAGAAAGCGGTTACGATCAAGAGGGAAGCATCGGGGAAGCATATGCACCACACGAAGCAGTTACTTGGCTGCCGAAAGGGAAGTGTGGCGCTTTTATTGAAGGTGCGCTGGTTGCTGAGCAGGACTTCGAAAGCACTCCGCCCCAAAAGCGATCCGCCCACTAGTTTAGTTGGTGATTTGGACGAGCTGCGTTGCCAGCAGCGGCACAACTGGAGCATGGTTTCACCAAACGCGTTGCGGTGAACTCGTTCATACGTCCGCTTTCTGAGCTGTTACCTGTTCATGAGTGAAAACCAACGGCCAAAAAAGGGGTCCCGTTTTGCGTTTTCTTGACGGATTTCTCTGCTTTTTTCGCCACTGGCGTACCATTGAGCACCACCACGTCTCCTCTACGCTCTTCTAATATCGTAATCCTGCCTTTTACACTTACTCCGGGGCCAACCTACCGTAGTTTTAATCAATAAATATTAAAAAGCGGTCTTGAACCTCTTCAAGTCTGTTTGCTCTGCATGTGCGATACTCTCCCTTACGATGCGCGCTTTACGTTAAAGGGCGCTCTGTGTCTTTCAGACGATCCCAACAGCTTAAATAATTTTGAAACCGTAGAGATTCCTACATAAGAGAGTTACTGAATATCCTTGACACGTTGTCATTTCGAGATACTTTTGGGATAGAATGATGAGCAACCCCATCCACATTCTCTTTAACTTGAGTGGTGAGAACATTTCTTGAACTTCTAAAACTCGAATAAATTTATACGTGTAAACATGACGTAGTTGGCTTTCATTGATGTGGACAGTGAGACGTCACATACCGTAGCTATGACGTTTTCATCCTAGAGGGTGTGTCATTTCTTGGGGTCAATTAAAGGCACAGGATGGGTACATAGGGCTGGTTGCTCAGCGTAAATATCAGTTTCTTCGTTAAATCCTTGCAGTATTCGTAGCTCTTTACAATTATGACGGGCTTTGACCAGGAGTACAGGCTAAGAACTGCGAACTAGTATCAGATCCTGATGACGACAGGGTGTTTGGAACATCTACGGAAAATTTTGTCGTAACATCCTGTATGGTATGATAACGACAAGAAATATATTATAGTATCAATCAAACTCGCTTTGTTGCCAAGGGCTATTCCCGGTAATGAAAGAGCACAACAGTAACATCAATGAAATTATAGACGTTTCGAATTAGTGCTAACCCGGAGTGTCAATTTTTTTATTCATTACGTTCGCATAAGGCAAACGTGTGCAGTTCAGTGATTAACACATGTGCTACAAAACATATTAGGATCATGACCCAATGAAACACAACAGAATTATTATAGCACCCCAACAAACAAAACCATTCAGAACGACAGCCGATCTCAGGAAACTAAAAATTTCATATTCAAGCAGCTATGCAGCTATCTTCCTTTGAACTGCCTCAATGACATATAGCTAGTTATATTTTTGGTAACATTTCATATATGCACCTACTGCTCTGCATATGGAGCTATTTGTTCTTAAGTTAGTTTTGAAAAAAGTTTTTTTTTCTTGGCTCCTTCACCTTGCTCTTTACTCTGCAGTAGAACTGGATTCAAACGCTGATTTAGCCATAATCCAAGATTTATACAGTTACTTGCAAAAACAGGCCTTTTTCCTCTTGTTAATCTTTGTTACTCCAAATTGTGCCGGAGTACTCTGTTGAGGCTAAGAGTGAGAAGAAGGCAAGGACCTCGGTGCCTGATGCTAATCAATGTGACGAAGTCTCGAAGGTAATCAATGAAGTCATCAAATCCGGAGCACCTGAATGTGTTAGGAAGGCTCTTTGCTATCAATGCACAAATTCGCTTTTTGTTCAGAAGTTAGGACAAAGAAATTGATGAGCTCAGGCAAGAAAATGGAAAGCCACGCAGCCAGTTACTGGAGCTCCAAAGCAAACGTAATGTCTCCAAATCTACCATCCAAGTCAATTGCTCCTACTCCAGTCAGTGTTGAACCTGATCATAATCGCTCCATCTTTATTGCGGGAATCGCCAAAAGTAAACATCTGAACGAGTTCACCATGGCGTATGCTCCACCAATCAACTCCTATCATCCCTTGGGATGTAATTCATTCATATCAGTGTATATCGACTAAGGTAGAAAATCGATCAAAGGACCGTTCAGTGTAGGTGGTTTTGTCAGATAAAAATTTCAAAAGGAAGCAATCAGACGTGCTCCTCGCCTTCGAAACTTTCCACATCCAGGCATTTATTCACCTCTCTAAAAAGAGCAAAGGCTTCTAAGACGCGAAGACGGTTCTTCAGCTCTCATGTCGGAATGATCTTACTAACAACGATTTACTCTAATTAATCTTAATGCGACTATGAAAGAGAATCACAGTAACATCAGTCAAAAAACAGATCTCTCACATTAGTGCTAACCTGGAGGGGATGTCAATTTCACTACTGTGTCCAATGATCACTGCTCTTGCGACCCGCATCTTTTCATCGAAGCAAACACGACCTCACCGTCGGACCGTTTGAAGTAGAGCACAAATTGTACGCGCAACATTACGGAGCGAGTTCCCAATTTGTTCGACATAGAACTTGGTGGCTTAGCAAAGTCTGTACCCTTTCCAGGACTGCAGTAAAGTGAAGTGTATCCCAATTAATGTTTATCATACCTTCTCATACCGTACCACGTGATGAATTATCTGGCCGAGTGGATCACCTTCCACCTCTAAGGGACGGCCGTCACTCGTAAAAAATGTGTGGTTCGCACACAAAAGTATGAGGAGTGCGGCTCGACCCATAATGCTTCTGAATGATGTTTTAATGTAACTTTACAATTTAAAATCTAAGTGATGTGGTCATGACAGGTGAATGAACGGAACGTCTTCTGATTCTCAGCAGAGCACAGACATAATGCCGGAGAGCGTCACTGCAAAGCCATAGCAAATAAGCACTCATACCGGAATAAAAGACACTGAAACATTCAATAGTCAATTGGTCTAATACCGTTTTCTAGTCGAAATTTCTCTGAAGATAAAAGATAACCAATCCGGTTGCTTTTCAAGAACTAACACTAGAGATCCTACATTTTTCGTTAACGGAGTGAAATGTGCAAACGATTGTGATAAAAATAATGAATTTACCTCACGGAATCCAAAACATTAAAGAAGATATTTATCATGCTGCTGGGCACAAATGGAAGTAGCTTGGTTGACATGAATAGAAGCATGAGCAGTTGAAATGCCACTACAACAAGACGAGTACAATTAATCAAAGCCAAGCACGAATAACGCTCTAGCTTGTTTACATGATCACTTTTTTAGGAAGCCTGTGGCTGCAGTAGAGACAAACCCGAGATATGTACCTATAGCGGAAGCCATTATGAATAATCGAAATTCTGCTTTCTTCGACTGGTCTTTATTGCGATTATGTTGCATTTGCGTGATGAAGATAGCCTGAAATTATCCTCTCATTTGTCTACAGTCATGCATCAGCCACCGAGCTGATTCACCAGGAAAGTCATTTAGGGTTTGCAGCGCTTCTTCTAAACGATTCACTGCATGATATGCGTACTCCTGCAGCCTTTTGCTGAGAGACGCTGTGAAGGTCAAATAGTGGTGAAGAAATGGTTCAAGGTTCACATCCCCTGATGGCAAAATTTCTTCATTTCAGGTTGGAGCTTCCAAATCTCTCCATAAACCGCCAGCGCCAACAGTAAATGTCATATTCGTTACCAAAGCCGAGTACTCTTCGTTAGAAGTTCCATACACACTTCAACGCTGTAAAATCATCCACTCCATGCAATTTTTCACATCCTTTTGTGGCCTTTAGGGAGCCGCCTAGTGAAAATAGACCTCAGTTTTGTAGATCACTCGAGAGACCTTACGAAGAACCGCTCTGAAAAGCGCCCCACGCCGTGAAAGCCTGTTCTGCCAGTACAGTTGGCCACAAATACACTGAAAATGCTATCCAAGGAAGTTCGCAGCCAAAAGCTCAATATAGTGTATATTGATGTCCCTTTTGTTAGACTTGCAGAATGTTCCAGTATAGGCCGTTAATAAACCAATTATATCTTTGTACGACTACCCATAATGGTTGGCTAGTCAAACGTGGTGATTGTCATCATGTGCTTCAAATGAATCGCGAAAAATTGTGTTACGATTGCATTCAGTGACACCAGGCTAAAGGAAGGACTGCACACTGTAAAGTGCCTGACTCGCAGCGAGTAGGCAGAGATGCAGGGGCTAGCGATCAAGTTGTAGCGCGTGCTGGAGTGATTTCGCGGGAAGTCAAAGGTAATACTCCTACTTCACACAGAACGCGCTGCGACTCGTCCGGTAATCCGTCTGAGTATCTGCCTTCTCGCCGCGCGACAGGCATCCTGTGTCGGGTATCTCGAACTGTAAGTTACGATGAATTACCTCCTAGTGTAATACATGCCCTTTATGCTGAAAATTCTTACGTACCTTCATTCGACTTTTATTCCTCCTTCGAAGAGCAATGAAGAAATAGCAGTATGCAACTATGAGAAATAAGCTGTTCACTGCTAGAAATAAACTAGCCGCTATGTAATAGATTACTGCGACATTTTTGCTGAAAGCTCTGCGTCAACTGGCTAACAGCCTCCACATCTGCGTGTTAATAATGAATGGCTATACCACGCTGGGATATGAGGGATATAGCGAGAGGAAAGACTCGGAGTGTGGTACAGTCCGTAATTGCACTTGCTGCTTAACGCTGATGAGATTTGAGATTTCTTCTTTCATTAGTTTTCACAAACCTTTTCTTTGCCAATTCGCCGTTTTTGTTCTGACTCGTACAACAAGAGCGGACCACATCGTGAAAAAATGACTAAGATTGCTTAAACAAGGGTTCTCGCTTGATAGCTAATTTTCTCTCAAAAACTGGCATATTCAACTGCAAACCAAAGGAGCATAAGCGTGGGATTCACATTAGTAAGCATCCATCTGTGTCGCGCTTGTCCTGTCTGTAAGGAGTCAGGCACGGCATATAAACTTCCATACAGCATTTTATACATTTTGAAACTTAGATAAAAGCTTGAAACTCTCTTACTTGGTAATACGGGGTACAAAACCACCACCCGGTAATTGCTCGAGCGCTACTTCATTTGTAAGAATGAATAATGGAATAGTGTAGCCAGGAACAACTTGAATGACCATAACAAATCTGAGTCGTCGCCAATTCCAGAGCTGAAACGCATCGATAATATTGCGCCTGTGTGTCGATAGGAGGAGCAATACGTCTATTGAAACAAAGATTAGAAAACAGACGGGAAACCTTG